ACTCGGTACTGCTGCCACTACTTGCATATTGTACCAGCTCCAGATGATAGATGATGGTGATTGTGAAGATATTGGTGGAATGAAGACCGGCAGGTTGAGCCTAAGTACTCGGAGAAAACCTTTCCCAGCGCCACTCTATCCACCACAAATCCTACATGACCAGACCCGGCTCGAATCCGGGCCACCGCGGTGGGAAGTCAGCGACTAACCGTCTGAGCTACGGCGCGGCCACTTTGTCTAATTGCTCGCGATAACTTCTCTGACTGGGATCAATCTATTTTACATTTAATTAATGACTCTCTGCGCTTGGTAATTGATAGTTCTGGGCCTGTTCCGTATCTTCTTTTTAGTTTCTGAAGTTTTGAAAAACAAGTTGGAAAAAAATTGTCGCTGATCAAGAATGAACCATCGCATGGCTCAGTGACATCTATCCAGTTTTTCAGAAAATGAGCTGCTTTCGTCAGTGTAGACATTTGATTGTCTTTTTATATTTCTCCATCGCAGCAGTTGTTTTGTTTAGTTCCTACGTCAAGAACGTCACGTTGAAAAGGAGGGAATGGCGCCCGGATACAATGGGTGAACCCCTCGCACGAAACCCAACCGTAATATCTGAGAAAAAACAAGCCCCTGACCATGCTTTTCTGAGACGGCTCGGTGATCTTGATTTCGTAAGACTTCTTTCAGGATTTCAGCTCCAAAACAATGATAGTTCGCCACCCGAATACGGTTGACAAGCTCCGAATACCAACTTATCAAACGAAGAGTGCTCGTGGGTCGCGTTGCTCAATAAACATTGAAGTGTAATGCTACGTGACTCTTCCGCCATTACAATGTTGGCATGTACATGGGACGAGGCTTCGTCAAATATAAGGGCGTTTCATTTATAAGAAAATGCAGGCATTCCTCAAAGACAGCACCTGCCATGTATTCGTATATTGCCGTTAGAAGCAAGCTCCGGTTTGTTCAGAACTTCAATATACGTGTACTTGTAGTTAATACCGTTTCTCAGTTTTGTAAAATGATCATTTACAGTAAAACGACCCAGCTTCATGGCTCGCTCTGGGTTCCTTTGTTGTGATTTATGCCTCGAAACATAAGAGTGACTGCTTACGACAAACCGAAGCTATTTCTTCCAGTCATAAAAAAAGCTAAATTTGTCTCTGTGCTTAACTAATTAAGCACTAGGCCATGAAGGCGTTAGGGGGAGTGGATGTATAGATCCATATTTCCTTGACCTCGGCACTAGTTGGAGTGAGTGGACAGCTTCATGCCCCGGCCGCTTTACCTCCGGAGAAAGTCCTCGGTACCCATTGGATAGAAGGCTAGGTGGACCTCAGAGCCAGTCTGGATGACATAAAGAAGAGAAATTTTTTGACCCTACCTGAACTCGAACTCCGACTCTTCGGTGGTCCAGCCCGTAGCCAGTCGCTACACCGGATCCTCTCTTCCAATCATTCCTTTCTTACTACAGGAGGGACGAAGCAACTTGCTAAAAACACAGAAGCTGTAAACGCTAAGCCTTCATATTTTGGTTGTGACTGACATAACTTTTATCATCCAGCCTGAAATTGTTTTCAACAGTTTCTCTTCTCGTCAGAGTGTTAAACGGGTATGACGTCCCGCCTTCTTCCGCGGTTCGCCAGTCTACATATTGCGCAAAGTTCTTCTTGGAAGCGATTCCTGAACAGTCTGTCTGATCGCCGCTATTGCTCTTTGAGGTGATCCTCCGACCAAAAAAAAAAACACATGTTTTGACACTTTAAACTTAAACAAAACTAACAACAAAACAAATCATAATATTTCTTTAAAGGGTCTCATTAATTGTTAATACTGTATCGGATTTGTTCAAAGCGTTTCCAGGCAAAGGCTGGGTAAACGTTCCAACGTGCAAAAATGGAAGATGTGTCTCAGTGAACGAATGTTATAGCTCGTTGCTAGGTAATAGTCAGCGCACCATTGAACTAGCTGGCTAAGAATCACGTGAATGGCGTATTCTGTGTTGTCCGTGAGAATCCTATATAACGAAGACCGGTTGTAGCTTAGATTAATATGAGGCTCGGAACCAAGACTTACTGACTGACCGACCGTCAGTGGCAATGTGACTTTGACTTTGACTTGGCTTAGATTAGTGCAGAGTGCAGTGCAGTGCAGCTAATAGTTCAGAGTTTTAGTGACTTCCGAGGTTCCAGGGAGATTGAACAAGAAATGGCAAGAAGACTTCATAGTGATTTGAAGTGCTAGTTCCTGTGTTGAGACCCCTTGCTAGAAGACGAATAGTGGAAACTGAGAATCCTAGTGCGTATGCAACGGTGAACAGCGATAGCGCTGTATTAATTGCAATTAAGAGATCCTGTAACCGAAGTACTAATAAATCTAATCATCCGAACTAGAACCCGTTAATTTCGTCACGCGTGCCCTCCATGTGACAATATGTTAAACAAAAAATACGAATAAATGATTCTAAATCTAATCTTGAGTTTGAAGAAATGAAATATAATGGACTGAGTTCGGGTGAACTGGGAGGCCAAAAAGTGTCCTCCTCGCCTTTCATCATACTCAGTGATTATTGCATAATGTGAGGGTCCCTAGTTTTGTTGCAGCATGTCAGTACGTCCATGATGCTGCGGAAAAGGACTAGGGCGGACTATAACCCTAAATTTGATAATTAAGCGTATTTTCAGTCTGTGACATGTAAGGAATATGGCTTTGTTTAAATAGTCTACTTCATACAAATGAATGTAGTGAATTGTGAAGTAGAGAACGCATTCAGATCATATCGATATAATACACAGAAGGTTAAAAATTAAGGCTATTGTCTGAAGAATCAGAATTTGTATTATTGGTACGTTCAATAAGCTAGTAAACTTGATATACCCTATGCCAGTTCTCTTACACAGACCCTACACTGCTCTGGATTCAGCGGACAAGTCTGCGGTAACAAGACTCATCGGCTGAAAGATAGCTTCTATTGTAATTTCAAGATTTTATTCTTCATGTGAGTCACATCTAATAGCATTCATATGAATGCGTAACAGCTCCGAGATAATGCTGATATCACATATGGAAAGTGCACTTCTCGTCAAGTGCAATGCCTTTGGCTGATGCCTCAGCATGACGCAATGATTCTCAGGCTTCACACACCGAATTCATATTCAATAAAAGATGTCTCGAGAGGCAAGACTCGGCTCGACAACCCTGACTTCCCACAGTGGGGTCCCGGGTTCGAACCTGGGTAAGGTCATGTGGGATTCATGGTGGACAAAGCGGCACTGGGGTAGGTTTTCTCCGAGTACTTCGATTACCCTGCAAATTTTCATTCCACCGACTGCTCCACACTCATTACTATCATCCAGTGCTGGTACAATAGGCCAGTTAGTGGCCGACGTACCAAGTGGACTCAATCTCCCCCCACTCCAAGAAACTAAAAGAAAAAGTTTAAATAATTAAAGACGGGAGACATGCTGAAACTCTTCACCAAAACTTGCTTACGCACGGCGATGTACAAGGCAGTCTGTTTATAGTAAATTTGTTAATTGCATTTCAAATAAATATTTGTAAGGAGATAAATATGACATATTTAATATAACATGCATAAATTTCCTTCAAATTCTAGCTGGCGACCTGACTTGTAGAACATTTATAGTCCTGCAATCATACAGAAAGCTGCGAAGCGTATTCTGATGGAATTCTCACATTTTCAAAATTCGCTCCAATGTCTTCACAACGCATTGACCTTTATGTTCCACATTTCTATTTGCAAAGATCAGCAGATATGACGCTACCCCGGCACAAAGATCAGTTTTCCTTGCAATCCATTAAATATAGATTATATTGGAAAATATTTCAAATTGATGTTTATATGCTCTCGAAATATAGGCATGTGAAAGTGTTTTGTATTGTGATAGAATTCAGCCTGAAGAAGGCGAGAGTACTGTACCCGAAAATTCGGAAAATCTTCAATTCAGATGGGGCTAAACCTTGCAAGCCAACATGAACAAAGTTAAATTTTATTTTTAGGTGGGCTAAAACGTTGTTCTTTAGAGATTGCTATGGACCAAAATGGAATGCGCACTACAACTTTCGGGAAAGACAACCTGCGGTACAAAATTTATTCAAAATACGCTCATGATTTTCGAGATGAAACATACGGAAGGCACGAATCATCTTAATTCGTTTACTTTATGCGAATTTCGAGGCTTTTCAATACATTTCATAACACAGAATATTTTACGACGAAAGTTGTTAGACCTATGGCCAGTGCTTGTTAATTCCTTATTCACTGTACAACCTTCTCTTTCTACAGCCACTCTCCTAATTGCTAAACACACGAAGACACGTTCATGTGAACAAGAATCCAGGCTAAGCTCAGCTTTGTCTAAAGCATGTACTGTGTTCAGCCAGCTGAACACTGGGATAACGGGTTGGAAGCGCACTCGGGGTATATGTTGTATGTTTTCGTATTTTTGTTTCTCCTTGTCGGTACAGGGCTTTCGAGGGGTTGACCCCCCAACCCTCAAAGAATTCTGCTAACTGTACATAAAACTCAGAATTACAAAAGTTAAATCTGAATTGGAACACATCAGAAGACCTAATCCGTACAGGATGAAGAAGACATTGTATAATGGAGGTGCACTTTCTAGGCCTGGCTGACCCCACCGTCCCGCTGCCAACCCTGGATAACTTCTGCCAGATTACAGAGCGTCACAGCCAGAAGGCAGTACACTTCGCAGATATCACAGTGAGAACCTCACACCTCTTTACCATGCACAGTTAGAACAGAAAGTAATTATCTCTCAGTTCCACGCGAAGTGTGTTTTAGTGCTAGAGCAAACTTGTTTTTCAGTTTATCAGTAAAAAAGTGAGAACTGGTCCCATCGTCGTACGTAATGAAAACCATGTTTAACTTCTAAGCAGAGGTGGGTGTGTCTGAACGTAAAACAATTCTTCTCTCAAGGCTTACCGAGTTCATCCGACATAAAGACAAAGGGTTTCGAACTTACCTCACTGTTCCTTCTCAACGGCCGGAGGAAAGAAAGTCTCCTGGGCCGATCATCCGACGGATATGAATTCTTCAACCCTCGTTCATCAAACATCGACATGTTCCTGGGCATGTTCTGTGATGCGGAAGAATTCTTCGGCTTCTCGTCCCTCAGGGACGATTTCCTTGGTTTCTGACCACTCATAACTGATCTCACTTGCTGACTACACACAGAAGTATAGATTTACTTGAGACCGGCGGTCGAACAGTTTTTTCAAGTCAGGATGTTTGACAACAATTCCACTAATGATGAACTAACAGACACTCGAGGAATGATTACCCCTTTTTTCTTGGGGCACGACCAATTCTGAGCAGCTGCGGGGATGGCTGCCTCATGAGATTACTGCGACCCGGGGACACTGAAGACGTTACGCTGTAAGGCTTTGCCCCACTGACCGTAATGAAGAATCAACACAGACTGGCAAAGCTGACGATCTGCAGCTGGAGCCAGCAAACGCGATGATGGCAAGATGAGGGAACAAAATTCGTTGGTATCACGACCACCCACGACTCTGAAAATAAACAGAAATAAAATATAAAATATTAAATTCCATATTCTAACAAATCGCGGGATCATCCACCTCTGATAACGTCGACGTTCTGTGGATATGCTAATCGTGATTCGGAACCAACGTGAAGATGCAGGTCCATCTGTCGGCCATCACCATTGCCTCATTTTCAGTATAATACTTTAATCGGGTTAAAAATGGGTTGTCAGAACTAAAATGTGAGTTCCTACCTTCGCATAAACTCAGAAAGAGATAAGCCAGGATGATCAATGGAAATATCTGGAGGCATAAGCACGTTAGTCTGTGTTGAAACATCATTGTCAGATTGTTCACGGTTCCCTTAGTGCAGTTGACAGTACCTTAAAATAGGTCAAAATTCCCTGTTTCCAGGTCCGTATCTGCTCACCATTCCTCTCTCAGTTGACACTATTCAGTTATTCAGTATTAGAAGGGGGTGGGTTTCCCCATGCACCGCTACTAGTAGCACTAGTTGACACCAAGTAACTTCTATAGTTGAAATATGAACGTTAGATAAATTAAGAACCAACCATTACATCAAACAAACAAGAATCGAACATCACGATAAAGTGGACAGTACTACTGCTTCGACTTCTGGAGATCCCGGGTGCGAATCTCGGTTCAGAGACGGAGCATCCAATAGGCTAGGGCTGCTTTCTTTCACAGCTTCTGCAATTCGTTACTCACAATCATCGCTAAGATTTGTGCTACAGATGTGATGCGTGCAGTTAAATGCAGCGTTTAAACCTGCCAGAAACCAACTACACAGCAATTTCAACGAACGATTACATTTTTGTAAGATTTTAGGCTTTCACGGCGGTGACTATGAAGAAAGCAGTCTTCTGGGATTTGGCACCGTGTATATGTGGTGTTAACCGATGTTTCGGAGGAACGTCGGTTAACACCACATATACACGGTGCCAAATCCCAGAAGACTACTTTCTTCATGATTAAATTTTTATTTATTTATTGGGTTATCTAATGATGATATATCAACTGTTTCGGTTACGCAGCGCCAAACGACAGAATAATTATGAACAGCCATCTGGTAAGAACACCAGAAGAATTTCTCGTGGCACATTTTATGAGAAAAAATCATTTGATATGGGTAATGACTAAATTCATTAAGCATGAGTCATCTTCCGTTCGAGATGAGTAGCAAGAGCGAAACGTCACATCCGGTAACTCTGTAGCTTATTCGTTGCTGTCGTTCATCATATTGCAGTTCCAGTCGGGATCCGTTATTAGAGTAGGGTTTCATTGCTGTGCTTGTTTAAATACGCTTTGTCAACTGCGTAGCCTAGACGGAGTCCAAAGGTAAGACACTTATGGATGATGAATTTGAAAGGATTTGGAAGAAAACGGCAGTGACGTCTTTTACATAGTAGATCCTACAATTCTACAGTTCTTCTGCAGAATCTGATGAAAGCCTCAAAAAACTTGTCACCTGTCAGGAAATCCCATCTTCTGAACCGAATTTCAATCCTCGAACTTTCGACCACGAAGCAGAAATACTAAAGTCAACCGAATCGTTCGGCGTATGCTCCCGTGGTCTATTTTAAGGTACTAATCCAAGCATCTGCCTAGGGTCACTGAGGACAATCAGGGAATGTCAGACATACTGTAAGACTTTCTGGCCAAGTGTCCGGTCCGGACATTCCTGTCAAGACCAGTACAACGAGACGTATTGGTTCCCACAATTAGTCGCATTCTTGACAGAGCCAGTTAACACAGAACGGGATTGGATACTTCTCGCATTCTGCTTCGGTCAGCAAGCCTAAGTCAGGGTTTCCCAGAGTGGGTGCCGCGGCCCTTCTAATGGGGGCCACGAAAATGCTAATGGTCAAATTATAATAGATATGAAAAGGCCACATTAATTTACAAATATAAAAACTGTCACAAAAATGATTTTATATTTAATTAAGGTTTATTAGTATTTTTTTATAAATCACGTTTAAATTACTTTTATAGGCTCGGGTGACTCACAAAATTATAATCATATCATGGGTGGCTTACGTTAAATCAGTTTGGGAACCACATGTCTGGGCGACTGTCAAGAAAATGAACTGAAGTATGAATTTCAATCTAACTCAAACAAAGTTGTGATGTATTCGGTTCAGTTATGTTTCGTAGAAAAATATTTTCTTTTTTTAAGGGTCAGAAATAGATATTCATACGTGTATATTACGTGCTATTCACAAGTGTCAAATGATGCTACATTTAAATTTGCATTTACAATTCTTATTTAAATTTTAATTTACAGTTATACATATAGACACTCTCAGGCCAATATACACGTAGCTCTGCTTACTGCCTTCAGATTCACGGGAAATTCTTTTCCAATTCTAAGGAATAAATTTCAAGGACAGCTTCCCATATAAAATCCAAAAAATAAAAAACGAGGAATTGGTGTACTGGAATTTTCTGATATCCTGTAATATAAGACGACTAATTTTCTGTATACTGACTGTATTTCTATGCGTGCGGTGGGGGTAGGTGTGTGTGTGTATAATACTCCTGTTTACATCGAGCACTGCGGAAGGATGATGAGACGGAAAATTATGGTCATGGTTCCCCCGGGGCCCGAAACCAGGAATGACTGTGCTGTCCAAACCAGCAGCAATTTACCCGACGGACCGAGCATTGCGCATGAGTAGTTACCGCGGATTTTCTATATTTCAGAGGTACTAGCTTCGATTCTCGGTTTGGAAGCCGAATACTCTGACACGTACGTAAGTTTTTCCGCAGCCCCTCCAGGTAAATGATGAGACCGTAAGTTATTCCACGTCCCTTCCAATTCATTATTTACAACCTTCTTCTCATACAGCACCCAATAAAGGTAACAGTAAAGCTGTCCCTGCGCTTGCTCAATTAAGCACTACGTCATGAAGTGGAGTTACAGCTCCGTCATTCTTGACCTCGGCACTAGATGGAAATGAGTTGTCAGCTTCACGCCAGTCGCTTTACTCTCGGGGAACACCGGTAACCATTGTATGGGAGGCTGGGTCGGTTGCAGAGCCGGTCTGGACGATGTCGAATAGAGATAAATGTCTTCCCCTTGCCGGGAATCGAAACCCGACCGTCCAGCCCATAGCTCGTCGCTACCCTGACTTCCATATTAACACTCTATAACCTATGAAACTGATAGAGAGTATCACGTACACTGGCGTAAGGGGATTCACACGAAAACACGGTAATTATCACAAGCCATACACAGCCAAAATGTGCTTGACGCAACACCATGCGTCACACTACCTACTGATGTATCATAGTTGAGCATACACACCTCTGCGAGAACGTGAGGTCTGGGAGGCCATTAGGCAATATAGGAACACGGCGTTCTTATCATTTGTCGCACTGCTGTGTTCGCGTAACTCAAGCACAGAGAATTCCAGTAACAGCTTTCATGGGGGGAAAAGACGAACTCCAGAAACGAGACAACGAGGTGAGATTGCACTCGATAGAAGGAGGATCTTACGTACTGGATCAACAGGCCTTAAAACCAGTTCATTATCAGCAGTGCAGCGTGGCAACCACAGTGCATATGGCGCGTTTATGCTATCACCTTCCGATAAACCATTCATGGCACCAGCTCAACGGCTAACTCAGGGGTCGCAAATCCCTTAATGGGTTGGTCAGCCTCTGCAGTGTATATGTGGGACACAGTGGCATGTTACCACAGGACTGAGAATTCAACTCATAATGGCTTCAGGCTTTCACAGCGACAAGTAGCTCGTATTAAATGGTGACACTGTGTGTTGTGGCAGGCTGGCTTGCCGACGTTTCGTAATACAGACACTGAACGAAACTGATACAATTATTCAGCAGCAGGATTGGAGAATCAGTTGTTCAAAACTATTTTCGGCTGAAATGTTAGTATTATTTCCGTATACGAATATCAGATATCTTCAGAAGAATACACTTGATAACAGGACAATGTGACGGACAGTAAGGACATCCCATATTACACTATGTTACACAGTAGCAAACGGAGCCGAAGAAAACACAAAATAAACAAGAACAGCAGCTGCCACATCCTCGAAAATCGTATAAAACTTGTAATCTCTTCCAATTCACGAAGAGTTAGAAGTATCTGTCTCTGTAACAGGCCGGGAAGGTCCATGAGGTTGCGAGACGTCGAGGCTCCCACATTTTTCTAGACAATCGGCTCACAGACGTCGGTGAGGTTGTGAGCCGCCCTTTAACCCCAGGAAGATTCCTGGTACTCATTTCTGTTAAGAGGCTGAATTGACCCCGGGGCCACAGTGCGGCTGGAAGGATTAGGTCAATTGAAAAATCCAATGACCTCATCGAGACTTGAACCCGCGAACTTCCAGCTTGTAGCACAGTGCCTCAACCAATTACGCTACCGCGTGCCCCCATGTATCACCTAAAAAATATCGTCACGTGTAGAAGTGTACGCTTGGCGTTAGGATGGTTGGATTTATTAAGAGCTCGGTTACCCCCACCCTCTTAATTACACTTAATGCAGCGCTATTGCTCATTTACACTCATTCCAGTTCACGGTTGCGCTCGCACTAGGATTCTGTCTCTACTAGTCGTCTCCTGTTAACGGATCTCCACACAGAAACTGTCGCTTCAAATCGCTCTAAATAGTGCACTTAATTAAGGTCTTCAGTCACCCTTTAAATCTTCACAGGTCTGTTGCTGTTACTTAAACATGCTAAAAAAAACACCCTCGAATACTTCTAAACGTTCCCAAATGCTCTCAAATGCTCTCCAGATATTGCCATATGTTAAGTCACATTGCGACTGACGGTCGGTCGGTCAGTCAGTCAGTAACTCTTGGTGTCGAGGCCTATCTGGGGCTCATGACCAGATTCACCATATGTTCTGTCTCTAACTGTCGTTATATAGCTTCCGCACTGACCATGGAGAAAACAGCCTATATTGTTGGAACGTGTTTATCGACCGATTGCATAGCAACGGTCGTGGCACGGATACCATAGAAAACGCCGTACTCC